GCTACTTGTCATCTCTCCCCTTCCTCGTCTGGATTCCTCTCTTAATTTTATTCTTCACTCCCCTGTTTTCATTGTTTGTCCCTTGAGAAGGAGGTTTCTTTACCACATTAAAAACGAATAGAATTTGAACTCATGATGGCCATTTTACTCTTGTATTCTATTCTTGTGGTCCTAGTTTTCGCAGTTATTAAATTCTGTTTTCTTAATGTCTTTAAAAATCCTTTTTATTCTAATTCTTTACAGGGGATACTTGAGACCTTCTTTTATTTTTTCATTTTCAGTGTCTATTTATATCACAAATGTTACTCATTCAATGGGTGATGAACAAGTAGAAATAATATACACACTTCAGGTGTGTATTTATCTAAAATTTTGTGTACACTCACAATTTATGTGCTCAATGCATGTTATATTGGTTGTTATTTTCTTTTCTTTTGTTTTGTTTGTTTGTTTTAACTTGAGGCCTTTTTTTTTAAATCTTTTAAAAAGTAATGAAGAGATGAGTTCAATTCTCAGCATCCACACCAGGCAGCTCCCAACTGCCAGTAACTCCAGCAGCAAACCATTTGACACAGAGATAAAACCCTAATTAACACAACAATAAACACATAAATTTTATCCAACAGAACATGTTTTGACATGAACTAAGTTCAAGAGAAAAATACAAAGGTGAAAATTTTTTAAATTTAAAAGTCCACACAATTTTACTTCTGTATAGTATCACATAATTCCACACTTACTCATTATTAGTTTATAGCTAGGAAAAAGAGAAAAATACATTCACTCACATTTTGGGTAATTCTAAATACAATGTTTTAATACTTCATTACATTTAGTTCATATGCTAAATATTACAGGTATGTATATAATGAAGGGAACATTTAGCAGAAAAAGTTACCCAGTCTTCCCCTGCTTTCATGGAGGGACACGTGAGATCAGTCTGCTCTTCTCCCTAGGGTATCTCCTAAAGTAACCCTCTACACATGCCTCCTACAACAGGTCAGCTTCCCGTGTTCTAATACTTCACAGACACCTTCCCATAAAACACAATGAAAGCAGTGATTTGGTGTGAAAAAAAATTAAAATGCAAGCCCAAATTTCTGTTTACATTTACAAGACGAAATGACTCTATCAAGCGATTATTAACAATGTCCCATTGTTAACTTTGTACTTAATGTCACCTACTAACCAACATTTCATGGACTGACTCTCATTTTCAGATCACAGGCTGAGTAGGGAGTCAGCACACTATCTAAGAGCTAACAGGAATCATAAACAATCTGAGAATACAGACGAAGCATTTGGCCAACTACACATAAAGGTGAAGCCAGTATAATGCCTGAAGTGGGAGATCAGCTATGCAAATGGTTAGAGCATCTTTGGGCATGTGATTACCAGAACCTCATAAAATAGATGCAGGAGGATTGCAGATCAGCAGAGGAGCAGGATCCTATGAAACTGGGTCACAGGGAGTTATTTGGAGGGGCTGGCTAGGCTGCTGGCTCTGGGGATGGAAGGAGGCAAAGAAAAGAAATAAATGAATCCCTCACACTAATAAATGTAAAACCTGGAGCCTCAAGAAACGCAGTGGTACAAACACCCTGACACTAGGAGCTCTCATCTCAGAACTGTGATGCAATATACCTAGAGTATTCGATGATGGCAGCAGCCACTGGAAACTAATAGATTCTGTCTTTGGAAAGTAGGGCTTTTATTTTTGGTAGTCTTCAGATTGATTAAAGGAAGACAATGAATGAAAGAAGCATGAGGAGCATTAAGCATTAATAATAATAATAACAATAACAACAACAGGCCCAGTGAGATGGGTCTACGGGTAAAGGTACTTGCCAGCAAGCCTGTTGACCTGAGTTACACCCCAGACCCTAGAAGGTGGAAGGAAAGGACTAACTCTCAAATGTTGCCCTGTGACTTCCATGCCCTGACACGCAATGAATAAATGTACTATTGTAATCACTCACTTTCTTATTTGAAGGTTTTGGGGTTGTTTTGCTTTGTTTTGTCTGTTGTTTCTTAGGTACGTCTCCAACCTCCCCCCAACCACACCCCCACTGGTGAGAGTTCAGAATACCAGGAACATGGTGCAGACTGTGTCTGTCATCTTGAAGACTGACTCAAATCACCACAAAGGATCTTTTTAGAAATATGACCATCAGAGATGGCATCAGTAGGGGCTCAGAAAAAAAATTAGAATCACAGTGTTGGAAAGAAGAGGAAAAGAAAAGTTTGTTAGTGAGTAATAGAACAGTTATGTGGAAACTAGAACAGTGATAAATAGCGATATTTAACTGAAGTTATTTCTAAGCAAAGCCATGAACGAATGGCTTTATTTTTCCTGTATAGTTACTAAAAGGATGCAAGAGAAACAAGATTAAACAGAAGGAAGAATTCTTAAAGTTAAGAAAAAGAAATGGAAGTTGATAATTTGGAAAATGCTCAGGCTTCGAAGAAAGCAAAATACACCCAAAATAAAATAGTTGCTTTCAGGAAACCATGATACAGGGTGTTTAATCATTGCTTGCCTCTTTAAAACCCTGGTCACTCTAAGAGGTCACTCTAAGAGTGGAGATGCCACAACCTGAGGAAATCAAGTGACACCCACCCAGCCCCAACCAACCACTGGCTGGCCGCTAGATTAAGAGACTGTTCTCTTCTGTGAATTCATTTCTAACTTTGTGGTTCTAACTGATGCCGGAGTCCTCCATGCTCTTTGCACATAGGCTATCCCAGACTTAACCACATGATGTATAACTCCTCAGCAGCCCCAGAAAACTTACAAATGTCAGACAGATCCTTTCTTGCGGCGGTTTCTAAACTGAAGGTGTCCTTGTCCGTTTTACAGTAATGCCTCTCTTTCCTTGCCTCTCACTTTAAGCTAACCTTCTAGACTTACTTTTTTGTTGTTCTTTTGTTTGAGACATGGCTTCATTACATGCCCTCGGTGACTTGGAACTCACTATGTACACCAGGCTTGCCTCTGTTTTCTGAGTTCAGGGATCATAGGTATGAGCTGCCATGTCTGATATCTTATTGAAGGCCCTCTTAAGGTTTTTAATGGTAATTCTCCCTCCCACTTTAAGGACCTGCTAAAGTGGTTTTTAATGTATTATTGTTTCTTTCTAACACTTTCTCAACTCAAGGCTTAAACAGAAATACAAAGACCTTTCTTCTAACAAATCACATTCCTCAAGGGTTATTATGCATTAACCCCATTCCCAAACCATGAGGCAGGCTCTTCTTTTAACAAGAGAGGCAGTCTATTGTATGACCTGATGGCCTTTTGCTAGTCCCTTATATGAATAGACAGTTTAGCATATTCAGTAAGCGAAGGGTGCTGTGGTAAACTTAATCGTGTGATATGGGGTTCCTTTGTCCATTGTAATAGGAGCATTGCCTGTACATGAGATTATTGAAGAAAATTTTCGAGAGAAGATAGTGCAACAGAATGAGTCATCACAGATGCAAATGGGAAACCAAAGGTTCTTGAAATGGTTAAAAGCTTGGACTTAAAGTGCAGACCTCAATGGGATGATTGGCCTCCCAAATTTGACCTGCAGAAATTGTGGTCACATATGCACAGGCGCCATGAAAAAGAACAGGACTTGGAGCCTAGAAACACTTGCCCAGAGGAAGCTCTACAGTCGAGGCTAGCAAAGTTTATTCTTGTACTTCCTTGCTTCTGGAATTGGAATATCTGTAACTAAGATTGCCTGTCTCTTTTACCAATTCATTTCAGAAGACTACGTCTTGCTCACGGGTATAGAACAACTTTGCTTGACTTACCCCAAAGGGCTCACATGTGACTGGAGGCTTTAAAAGCAATAAAGAAGTGAAATTTTGAAATGCAATTGAGTCTATAACGTTTGAGACATTGAGTAATTTGGGGACTTAATGAAAATATTCCACATATAGGGAGGGCAAGTCTACCCCAGTCACAATGAATGATACACCCCAGTCCTCTCAAAACAGCTACTTTCTATTCATGGAAACTCTAAATCTGTTACCTTAAATAGAGAAAGGAACTTAAAGACGAAATTAGGTTAAAACTATGTATATTCAACGTAAGAGAGTCCTAAAGAGGTTCAATGTCAGAGAGCATATGTGAATAAAGCAGAGGCCAGGAAAAGAAATGCATAGATTCTATATTGCTGACCTCAAATATATTGGAAGAGGCCACAGAAGGCAAGAAGCTTCTAGAAGCAAGAAAAAACAAGGGCATGATTTTCCGCTCAAGTATACAATGAGAACAGAGCACTGCCAGTGCCTTGGCATTAAAATTTCTGACCTCGAAAAACAATCAAACAATAAATCTATGTTGCTTGAAGCCATCAACTTGATGGTAATTTGTTAAAGCATCCAGCACAAACCAATAAAAATAGCCTCAAGCTTCATGTGGCATAATGAATCCCTGCAAATGCATCATAAAAAGTTCACATTTTCATATTGCAGGAACTTAAGAGTTCAGATCGCAAGGGACATGATTCACAAGACACTATACATTAATTCTCAACATTTAAAAACCTGATGGCATTCTGTGCTCTTGACAGTCACCTTGTGGAAATGTACCAACCCCAAAATGAAGCACCCCCCCCAATTCTAATAGGATGAAGTTTGCCCCAGTAAACAGAGAGGAAAGTAATGCAATAAATCTTTACTGCTAGGGAACAATCAAGAATATTTCCTTATGCATTTGTGTCTGCACGTGAGTGGGGGATGCCTCATTTAGACAATGCATCCCGTGTTGCAAATGAGGGCTCTCTTCATCAAGGGCCCTCTCTTTAATTATATCAACAACTTTATTTTAAAAAAATGGTGTGAAAAGTTGCTGAAAAGCTACTTTAAGTGAAATAAGGCAATGAGACAGTGCACGGCTGGGGAGATCATATTTACTTAGCAATCAGCATGACGGCATTCAGACCTCCACAGTCCTCAAAGGACCATGGAAATCACCTAGGAAGCATACATAGTGACACACCTCTTACCTGTGTCACAAGCGGCTCCAACAGCCTTTCCACCGTGAGTGTCCGGATTTCCAAGCTTTTGGGATCCCATTTTAAAATAATAGGCGACGTTCCCGAAGTCATGCTCCCTGCAGGGACATATGGCATTCATTAGAAAGAACATTCAAGGACATGCGCTATGATCGCGGTGTTCAAAAGGAGTATGTCACTCATACCTAGAAGATGCTTGAAGATTGCTTTAGGTCCAACTTTGAAAAGTCAAGTATGGGAAAATCAGATAAAGTACTGTGTTGTAAAAGTCCTGGGGCTGAGATATTTTGGAAGATTACTTAGCATTCCAATGTATATCAGGACACGACAGGTTGGACCTGTAAGAACGTAGTGTTAGAATACAAACCAGAATTCAGCTCAGACCACAGTTCCTGCAGCAGACCTTCACTTACAGATACTGACAGGCAGCCTACTCGGGCCATGGCTATGAGTCTCTAGCTAGACAAGCTTCCAGATACTGGATATCCTTTTCCTGTATTCTGGTTTACTTTCTATTGCTATGACTAAACACTATGACCAAAGGCAACTTGGAAAAGAAGGCATTTATTCCATCGTATAGTCCATCATCATCAGAAGTCAATAAAAGGCTGCAAGGTGGGGCCTTGACAGAGAAACCAGAGAGAAATATTGCTTACTGCCTCGTTCCTGATTCAGTTTTCAATAGCATTTGTATAGTTCAGGCTTACCTCCCTGTCAACAGCAACACCAACAGTGGCTAGACTATCTCACATCAATTAAAAATCTAGAGACATGACTAGGGATCTATCTGATAGGGACAAATTTGCAATTAAGATGTCCTCTTCTCGGGTGTGTCAAGGTAACAAGTAAGGTGGACTATGGTACCTGGGGAAGAGAGATGACATCAAAGGGGGACGCTGGTAGTCAAACATCCTACTTTTCTCACCTTCCAGGCTTGCGGCTTGGGAATCAAGAGTCTGGCTTCAGTTTCTTGTGAAACCACCTCTGTTGTTGGCATAAGCAAATGTCCATGCCTCTGCCTCATGGGTTATGATTCCCTTCTTCAAAGCCCCTACCATTCTGTATGTCTTTGGTGGTGGGCCTTCAACTCTCTGCAGAGCTCTTACTATGTTATCGTCTGGGACTGTCTGTCTACAACATGAATAGCTCTTCTAATATCCGACTTAACACAACAAAGTGTCTCAGTGTCCCTCCTGAACCCATGTCAAAGAAATTTCAAGACCCTGATACTACAGAAAACATTCCATTCATTTAGTGTAGTACGTACTTATCTGCCATCTGCAGACAAAAGCTTGGATCTCGCCCTCACGCAACTTATGCTTTTGAACTAAAGACAGCCAAGTCAGAGAATTATGAGCATGAAAAGAAATGGGAGAGTTGAGAAAGTGTCATCAGAGCCACATAAAGAATAACTGTGAATAAAATTATATCCATTATGGTCACAAGATGTATAGCCCCAAGGCATTGCAAAAGGTCACTTGGCTGTTTTCTTCTTAACTGAAACTTCAGGATATCATACACTTTAGGGCAGTAGATTCCATCACTTAAGTAGGATGTGTATTTTACAAATGCAGTAAATTTTCATGGTTGAAAATCAGCACTATCTCCAGAATCAAGGTAACCTGAACAATTAATAAACTTACTCCATGAAAGAGTGCCTGATAAGTCTATTTATCTCTTTGCAAATCAACCCATTCTCCCATAAGAACAACTGAGTCCCAGGTTGCCTCCTCTCCAGTCTCCAAGAAGTCACCACAATATATGGCTCTGCCCTTAAATTACACATTCCATCTTGGGTGTGTTTCTCATCAAGAAGTTGCTGAATATATTCTGACATGTAAACACCAGACAGGCGACCTTAGATTGCAGAAACTGAATCTGAATTATTTGCCTTAATACTACCATAAATCAAACCGTTCATGCCTGCTTCCTTCTTTAGAATCAATGTCACAATTCAATTCCATCCTTATAAATCAATACAGATGATTATTCCTACTCAAATTAACAATACAAAGAGGGTCTATCACAATAGGCAACATGATGAAGTTCTTCTTCAATAGCTCTCCCTCCTATATCCCACAGCCAGCTAATTGTCTGGCAAAAAAGACCCAACCAAATTGCTCAAGAAAATAAGAAAAGGCGAAGGCACTGTGTGCTGGTAATTTATCTCTCTCCAAATGCCATGTTCTAAATAAATTCAGCCCAGCGATCCAAGTACACGGATTTAGAACTGGGTTCCTTTACAACAACAATAGTTGGCACTCACACTGCTGGTGCTCAGAAACATGCAGACACTTTACAATTTCCCCATTCACACTAGCAACTGCCACAGGCAGGCAGTGCTGACAGGCAGGGGATTCTGCGGCTGGGCACGGGGCTTCTCCTGCTGTGCAGTGGTGCTGAGGAGGCCAGAAGCTCCCTGCATATGTTTTGATACCTCTTTACTGCATTGATATTGTTGCCAAATTTGGTGTCATAGCCTGTGCCACAAGAAGCCAAATTTGGCCATGTGTCCTCAAGAAGTCAGTTAAACCCCCAAGTTAACAGTTATAAAGCTGGGACTGGAGGAGTGACTTGGTTACTGAGGCCATGCTAGAAAGAGGGACAAAGAGGCCCAGTGACTCTCTCAGGTCCACCTTAGGGTCTTAGAGATCCTCAAGTGGGGCTAAAGTGAAGGAGAGGACCACGGATGCCCACTTCTAAGCAGTCCAGGACAAGGTGTGGTCCCATCCACCTTTGGGGGTCATTGTTTGAGCTTCAATGCCATTCTCTAAGGTAGCTTGGCAACTCGTTAGCACTGTGTGAAATCTCTTCCCGGGACTCTGACTGGAAACTTTCCTTCTCCTGTCACGAAACTCCTAGGGAAATTCCCATTCCTTTGGGGTTCCTTGTCACAATAGTCAGATTTAGAGACACAAGAATGTCCTTAGTCTACCACAAGCGACCCTAGTTCAACAGTGAGCACCAAGTCCAGCAGGTGGGGGACTAGCCTGAGAACTGCTTTTTAGATTCCGACAGGACACAATGGCATAGCAGGGATGATGAGGAGATACGGAGAGAACGCCGGATTAGCAGCGTTAAAGTCACTTTTACACCACGAACGGCTAAGGCTGGGCTAAGAGCTCAATCGATAAAGTGTACATCGATAGGACCAAAGCTGGATCCAACTAAAAAGTCAAGTATGCTGACCTGAGTTTGTTATCTCAGAGCTGGTGGGGTCAGAGAACCTAGCTCTGTCGACCAGCTCTAGGTAAAAATTAGAGACCCTGCCTGCGTCAAAAACACAAAACATAAACAAGGAGTGTGGAGAGGTGTAGAGATGGCTCAGAGATTGTTTACTGCTCTAGCAGAGGACTGGAATTCAGGGCCCAGAACCTACACTGGGCATTTTACACCAGACTGACTGTCAGCACAGGTCTCAGGAATCTGAGGCCCTCTAGCATTTGCAGGCTATTGCGCATGCACACTACAAATATACTAAAGCACCTGGACTCACATTCACATAAATGTATAAACACTTTCTGAAAATAGACAAGATGTTCAGGATCGGAGGTAAATGTCAGACAAAGCTGTCCTCTAGCCTCCACACACATGTGTACAAACATATGAACATATGTATGCAGCCTCACCCTGCATATATACATCCTGACCCACACAATTTAGACAGAGGATTTCCTTTGTAAGATGGTCATGCGAGTTACATAAGTTGTCAGATCACAGAAGGCACACAGAGTCCTTTATGGGTGTTCCAATATAGAACTTCATAAAGTAACAAACAGAAAAAAAAACTGCTGGGGTGAGAACCAGAAATGCTGGTACAGTCACCTCAGATCCACTGACCTGGCCTGAAATAGAACAGAGAAATAAATCCTCCTGAGCAGAACTCAGGGCTTTCTATGAGCTGAGAAACAGAGTTAGTCACAACCCAGACCTGAAGGCCACAGGGATACTCCTATTTTAAACATAAAAGAAGGGTTGCTTGTCAAATCATTCAGTGTATTCTCTTAGGGATAAACCTCAATCATTTCTTTGCCACACAGTTCATATTGTCAGAAAAAATGAGAAATGTTTACATGTTATAAATTCATTGAGAGGAAAGTGCAATGCTGCTTTTCCTAAGCATGCTGTTGTTACTGGAGTGCTTGGAGCAGACCTGTCCCTGGCTGTCCTAACAGGAGCAACCACCTGTCCTGAAAAGGTGAATTAAACACACAAATACAGAGAATGCATAAAAGGGAGATGTACTCAATTTGGTGAAGCCACAGTAAGGTGTGGAGAACAAAGTGATCTCTGCCGCAGGTCCCTCTGTAGACTGTTATCATGAGAGGTAGGCTTTATAGGAGGACAAGAAGTTTGCACCTCTAAATAGTTCTGGTCAAAATGTGTTTCAGCCCGTCAACATTGCCTGGACTTCAGTCTCACCTACCAGCTCTTTTGACAAGTTGTCACCACTGGCTGGCACCAGGTTTCAGTTTATTGCTTTTCTCAGTAGGAGCGTCCTGGAGAAATTCCAGTTCCTTGGGGCCAAGTGCCTCTTTTTCACTCTGGTAGCCAAAATGCCACACAAGATTGTCTCTGCATAACATCTTCGGCACTGCCAAGATGCTTACACTGTTTACTATAAAGTTAAAACAAAAGGGAAGAACCCCCCTGTACACCACAATCTTGTCACCACTTGGAAGTAGAGACAGAGCTGGATCAGAACATTACTATTTGATATTCCATTGGGCTTGCTCTGAAGAGAATCTAGCAGAGCCAGCCACTGAGTCTCCAATAAAGGTAAGACTATGTTTTTCATCTTTAATAGTGGTATGACCTTGACAAGATGCTATTTCTACAATGAACATATTTGTCTTGCTATTCTGAGTGTACAATGTGTACTGCCCTTGTAATGAAACACTTCAAGAGAGAATGCATGGCCAGTTGAATTGCCATGAAGCAATTGAAAAGAAAATTATAGTTGGGTCACCTTGCCCATAGTCTTCCAGGTTTACCAACTGACTTCTGTCTCTAGAGTTCTATTGGGCACAGAGGAAGACACATAAGAGAAGAATAAGCAGACTGCCCTAACCTTTTGACATTGCTGTCATCTACAAAG